AAACAAAGGAGTCCAAAGACTGAATGGGCCTATGGAACTCAGGAATTAGGGCATCTCCCCAGATCATCCCATTTTAGAGAAAAGACATCTGGAAGAATTATTCTCTTGAGTGAATTCCCCTTTCCTCATTTGAGAGTAATGATTCAATTCATCCTGGGCAAACGTTTTAATGGGTTATATTTGTTTGTATTCATAATATATGGTAACTGAAATTTACTTGGTGAAAGTTATTTTCTGCTAAATTGATTAATTCTGCAGGCTCTCAGAAATGTTAGACATTTTAGTGCCTGTTCAAAATCCAAAATATTGTTCAATTGTAATCTGAACTGGAGTCACTATATTGAGCTAGAATGTATACATACATACACACAAACACACACAACTACATATACATTCTAAATATAGCTGGATTCATACTAGCCAGTCAGAAGTTGGGATACTGGTTGGAAGGAAAACGTGTGTTTTAATTTCAGAATTAGCCCTCTCCCACTGCCCCTGCCCCCAAATTCTGAAGATCTTTCTTGGGGTAATGTTTTATAGATGGGAATTACATGTTCAGAGCAAATAACTCACATAAGACATGCCCCCTCCTTGAATTCCCAAGGTTCATTAAATACAACACAAACTTCCAAATGACTACATTCCCTTAATGCTAGTTCTAACAGCTATTGTATGTGATTACTATTGGAAGAGAGCAAAATTAGTACTTCTTGTTGTTATATGACTTATGAAGAAAAGGCCAAGGCAGGAAAAAGCAGGTGGGGTCCATGCTGAGGAATGAAGGAAAATAAAGAAGATGGAATTTAAGAAGACTGTAGTGTAAAAGCAAAGAAAGATGAGATAGGAATTAATTGAAGTTTAAAATGGCAGTGATTACAATCTGGCTGCATGTAAGTTAGAGTGATGCTAACAGAATTCCCTAGGTGCAAAGAGGGAATTAGACATTGGAAACAAGATGAATTGCCGCTAAAACAACAGCTCAGATACCTTCTTTTTTTAAAAATTTTCCTTGTAGCATTAGGCACCTACTTCTGTTCAATAATATAGCCAAAACATAGGCATTTTTTTCCTCTCTCTCTTCAAGGAGATAGTTTTGGTAAGTGTGTAGACTATTTGGCCAGCATTCAATTCCCAGAGCTTAATGTATTATTGGCATGATCTCTTGCCAGGAACATCAATTTCTCCACATGGATCTATTGTCCCTAGATTGTAATAGGGATGGGAACGTGCAGTTTTGAGCTTTCACAAAGCTAGAATTGTTTCAACATTACATTTCCACACCAGTAGGACATTGGTAGAAAAGTTAATGCATTTTTCTGTATATTTTTTCTCAATAGACACATTTTTGCTCATAATTTGTCTAATACACTCATTTTATAAGCAGGAGCACTATGTCTCTCGTGCAATATCCCAGAGGCTTAGACGTGTTTTATTCTACTGCATGCTGGGAGCTTTCCATCATTTTCATTCTGATGCCAGAGTGATGCACTGATATTTTCACTGATGAGGTGAATGAGAGCTTGGCTCAAAGCTACGCTGTCATAGCCATTTATTCCCATTAAAGCAGCTTCCTTTGCTTTGTTTGGAGCAGCGATGTTAAGGGGATGGAACATTTGCCTTTTTTCACATGAACTTGGCTTTTGGATTCCTTGGACCAGATTAATAAGAAATAAACTCAGTAAAGAATAAGATGTGAAAATAGAAAAAACAAACAAACAAACAGAAAAATCAAGGCAAGATAAGTACATAATTGATACTAGCTCAATATTTTAAAGACATCTGTGAAACATCTTCCTTTCTCAAATTATATATCTTTCATATTTCACAGTGTGAATTAGCTGCTGAAGTATGGAGCTCTTTAACAAAAAAAGAAACCCTGAATTTTCCCCCCTTTCTCCTCCTTTTTATTTTTTGCAACCATATGTATATCCCCCACAAAAAGTAAAAGGATTTACTCCAAAGGTTTCAGAAGGGTGGCAGCCTTATTTTTTGTTACTGAGGTACTGTATCATGTTATTTTATCTATATTTTATGGATAACAGTGTAGGCAGATTTATTGATGATGCAGGTCTCCACATATTCGCCATTCCTTTTTCTTGGGCTGATATGCAGCAGGCCCAATAATGCACAGCCCTTTCCCCATTGTATTATTGTCCTTTTCAGGTAAGTGAGAGGTTCTCAAAAGTACATTAGAGGCGTTTTTGTTTGTTTTTAGTTTAACATAACAGAGGTTACCTTCTGCCTCCAGTTTGGGTATGAATCTGATTGCTAAATAGGCCACTACATACACTAAATTTTATGGACATTTAACTTGTCTTCCATTGGAGTCATACAGATCCAGCAGAAAGCAAAGTACACAATTTCCATCTTTGTTTTTTATAATGTTATTAACAGTTTTAAAAATGAAGATAAAAACTAATACAAACTAATATAAAGTAAGAAAGAAAAAAGAAAGAGAAATAAATTAAACAGAAAGCTAAAAGTACAAAAAAGAAAGAAAAAGAAAAACAGAAAAAAAAAGATACAAAGAAATGGCTTCCAATCTTCTTTATCACAGTTATAAGTACAATTATATACTCACTTCTTTTTCTAAAATTATATCATGACTCTCTTCTTTCTATAGTCTATCCTGTCTAATCATCAAGACCATAATTCTTTTCCTGTTGTACGCAAAATGTTCGTAAGGGGTTTCCAATCATCAATAAACGTAGATATTGTCTTTTCTCTGATCAAAGAAGTCATTTTAGCCATCTCAGCAAGTTCCATCATCTTCACCAACCATTCCTCCATTGTAGGTATTGCCAAATTTGTCCAACTTTGTGCATACAATAATTTCATTGCAGTTATCATGTACAGAACCAAAGTTCCATGACTTTTTTCCAACTGTTTGTCCACCAGTCCTAAAAGAAAGACCTCTGGTCTCAATTGTATATTAATTTTTAAAATTCTCTGAATCAGTGTATGTAATTGAATGCAAAAATTTTCTAGCTTTTTTACACCAAGCATGATAAAATGTCCTTTCTTGTTGTCCATATTCCCAACATAAATTTGAAGTACCTTTATACATTCTAGACAACTTCTCTGGTATGATATATCAATGGTACATCATTTTATAAAAATTTTCTTTAAGATTATAACAGTGTGAATTTCAGTCCTTTCAACCACATATTTTACAATTGTTCCATCTGTATATTATAATAAAAAAATTAGCTCAGTTTATCTTACATTCTTTCACTTCTTCTGTTTCAAATTTCAATAAAAGTTTATATATTTTAGCAATTACATCTTCATCATTTGTACACAATTTTATTTCAAAATCAGTCTTACAATGTTCAAATTATAAACTCTTTTGTTTACTTTAATTTTTTCTGATAACTGTAAATAAGAAAACAATTGGCAACTATATCCCTCTGTCACCAACTGTTCTCTTGATTGTATTTTACATTCTCCTTGACAAAATTCCAGTATCTCAAGTTAAGTTAGTCATTTGTGTCTGCCTATTATTTCTCGCCTATAAAATGCTTCTTGTGCTGACAGCCACAAAGGTGCTTTCAGACACAACCTGGGTTTGTATCTATTCTATATTCTGTATATGGTACATCTAACAGAATGATTTTTAAAATCCACATTAACCTTGATTTTGTCATACCACAAATATCCATGCCACCCAATCTCTGGTCATGTTCTTCTAACTCCAAAAGCCTTCTATTTCTCAGCAGCACCCACTTCTTCATCCAAACCAAACAGCAAGCAGCAAAATACAATTTCAAATCAGGTAAACCCAATTCTCCTCTTTCCTTTGCATCTTGTAACACCTTATATTTCACTCATGGTTTTTCCCCCGCCACACAAACTTAGATATATCCTTTTGCCCCTGCTCAAATGATGTATCAGTTGTCAAAACAGATAGTGTCTGAATTGTACATCATTTGTGAGTTGGCCTTGGGCCTGAGTGGGGACCAGAACCCATGGGATCTAACCTGGGGCCTTAACCACTATACTAAATGGGCTTTCAAAATAGGATGTGAGGAAGGCATGTGCTAAAATACATTTTCCTGGATGAAACCTCCTTGCACAAAGTGCACAAAATATTTAAAAGTCCATACAAAATAGACATTATGAAAATAAATGTTTATAAAAAATAAGTACATCTATTTGTGCAAACTCCATGTGCCAGATTACGAAACAGTCTATGTGAACAGAAGTTGTGGTTGTTAAAAAGTGGAAACTGCAGGAAACACACTTGACATTCTCCCATCAAATTATTTTTGCCATCTCTTTGCCTTGACAGGTGCCTTAATCAGGAAACCTGGTAGGAATACGTAAACTTCCTGAATTGGGATAATTTAGATGGGGAGAATTTTCTTTTACACAAATACATTTATTTCCCTCAGATTCACTTTAAAATTCAAATATGTGTAAGTATACATCGATAGCTATGTCTGTCTGTCTGTCTGTCACATAGATATGCGTTTGTATGTATGTATGGTATATAACATAGGATACAGTGAAAATGTTAGATGATATTTTTACACTTAAGTCTTTGAGTGCTGAGTCTGAGTTTGAATCATGGTTGAATACACATCGGTTGGGGGCTAAATTAGAGTTGTCATCTCTGTCTCCCATATCTGTGTTTCCTGTGCAATCTCCTTCTTCATCTTGAAAAGCAACATGGCAAGCAGATGCAGCCTACTCCCCTTCATGTTGGGAACAGTTAAACATATTCAGTTTAGCCCGAGTAGTTATGCATATCCAATTTGCCCAGATTTATTAACAAAATAAAGGGTAGAGAAACCAAAGCCAATAAATTTGTCTGTCTTTATCCCTGATGATTCAGCTCTTACTGATGCTCATTTACATATAATTCACTTTGCCTGATTCTTTCCTGCCAGATATGAGCACAAGATCGTTCTGTCACACTCTGCTATGTCATGGCTTCACAAACACTGCCAAAACTGTTTTGAAGTAGACACGTGATTGGGTGGAGGGGTGACTCAGAGAGGAGAAAACACAGCAGTTAACAAAGCCTCAGCACAGTGGTAAGTTCGAAGTAGAGTTCAGTGTTTGGTGAGAAAGACAAAGATTGTTTGATCCTTCTGTTAAAGGATAAAAAATAATGACATGGCAGCATAAAAACCAGGTTGTCAGGTGTTGCTAACATGTACCTGAACAGCAGGAAGAAGGTTGACTTTCTAAATCATCCTTCTGTGAAGGGTCATGCAGAAAAGCTTGCTTTGATCAGTCTCAAGAGAGAGAAGTTACTGTATGCTGGAATGTTTTAATTTTTTAATGAAAGTAATTGGAAGGCTATATATTGAATGAAGTTCCTCATTTGATGCAATGATCAGTTGACAAAAGTGCAGTGGTTCACCTTTTACTTTGTTGAGAAATCCCAAAATGCTTTATTTTCAAGACTGCTTTTGAACTTGCACAACTTAATCTTGGGAGGGAGGGAGGGAGGGAGG